AGCGCTAAGATTACAATACCAACTGGTTGCCTCCTCTTCTTACAAAGGAGGACTCGGCGCACACAATGGCGAGAAAGAAGGAACGCTCGCGCGCATCGTATCACACCGTGCGTACGTATTGCACACGCAATGCGCCGGAGCGATGGGATAAAATAGATATTTTGTCAGAAATCTGACAAAAAATTAGATTAATTAAAAAAAAATTTTAATTAGCTTTATTTTCCTCTTGAAGAGAAATTATAGTAAATTATTTGTAGTGTGAGAAACATAACTTTATTCATTGCAATGATATGTTATTAAACATCGAACGGAGATTATACGAATTTCTTATACGTGTGATAAATCGTCACTTTCATCCTCTTCGAACGCACGAACAAATATTTATGGGATAGAATAGATATTTTGTTATAAATCTGACCAGGATGATTTATATTAAAAAACTTAGATTAATTAAAAATTTTTTAAATTAGGTTTATTTTTCTCTTGAAGAGAAGTTATACTAAATAAGTTTTAGTATCAGAAACATAACTTTGTTCATAAAAAAATATATTCAAACGATAAAATGATATACCATATGTATAAGTGGTAAAGTTGCAATGATATATTATTAAACATCGAACGGAGATTATATGAATTTCCTGCGTGCGATAAATCGCCACATATTGAATTCAATTTTCCAACAATTCCTCGCCAGGGATAGAGTGCGAAGCTTTTCCTCGCTCGCGATCGCGTCGATCCCATCGCTAGGCGCGCCACACGCGGTCCGTTGCAACGCGTGTTTTCACGTGATGGGGTCGGCTTCCACAGGCCTGAGAACATTCCCACGTTCCGTAGCACGAGCCAAGAGTATACAACCGGAAGAATTTCGGAGGCCAGGCTACCCATTCTGCCGAGGGAGAACGAAAGAGAGAGAGAGAGACCTTGCGAACGCGAGGAACGGAGAGAGATATAAACGGTGGATAACTGAGCGAGGAGAAAAAACAGGGCGGTGGATATGGGGAGAGAGAATAGGCTCGACGACCGCCTTTGCGACCGGGCGGGAGAAGAGGACGGAGACGCCGGAAGTGCACCGACGCGCCACGAATTAGCATCAACGACCTTCGTACCTTTTTCTGCGCCGACAGACGGGTCGTCGTGGTGGAGCACGAAGAGGCTTTGGGCGCAATCAGGGCGGAGCACGGAGGTGATCGAAGATCCCTGAAGAGATTCCGGATTCGGTAAATATTACCGTTGCTCGTTCGAACGATGGGGAATTACTGTTTTAGCTCGGGGAAAATACATTGATCGTTTATTTGCGCTGCGCATCGCGGTTCGAAAACAAAGGGGAGGATAATTAACGCTTTACTCTGATATAGATATTGATAATAAATTATGTACGCTGCGATGATATAGCGAAACTCGAGCCTACTCATTTATTATATTTCCCGGAACATTTTCTTACGTTTGTTTGTAAGAGGTACGCGCGCGGAATATCGTATATCAATTATTATTTCTTCTCGTGCATTTATCGCGTCCGTTATACATTTGCCAAGGGGCAAAGCAGCGTTCCCGTTTGAATCAAAGTTGTTGGCTGCTATTATTTGCGCGAGCATTGCAATGTGCTCTTAGCGATGTGATTATTTAACACGCAATTGTGCAATTTTATATACATGTTTTATTTTATATTGTTGTCTCTTCTTTCAACACACATTTTGCTTACAACATCATATATTAATACTATTATTGCTCTGTAAAATTGGTGGTTTAATATTTCGAACACTATACTAAATTATAACACATTGCTCCGAAAAATAAAATCCTAAAATTTTATTAAAAATCTGGGCGAAAAACATAAATTTGGCTTATCATAAAGTCTGTTTAAATTAATTTAACAAAATAAAAATAATAAATAAATTTTATTATCAATGTTATTCTTACTTCATGATAATAACCATCATTTTCGTGAAGTGCTCCAAAATTCTGTCCGTTTAAATGTCAATTAATATATGCCTTTTAATTATGTATTAAATTGGATTCGCTCAATGTTTCATTACATTAATTAATTTTATGAATTTTTATAAAACAATTTTAGGAACCCTATAATTTAAAAATTTCACATTTAATCCGATACGTCCGACAAACTCGTTGCACATATAAAATATCCAATTAACGAGTTGCGCGTAAACGTTAACGTGTGAGATTAAGTGGAATCTTTCTCCCGGGGTTAAACTTCCTCGATCTCTCGAGGAAGCGTGCGATTTCTTAAAGGGCTGGGAAGGGAAGGGGATGCAAGCACGTAAAAAAAAAAAAAAAAATGCATCGTATCCAGAAACGAATTACAAACCATCGTCGGGAATCACGTAAGGACATGTTGGCAGCGCATGCCTGGTGTACGTACAACCGCTGCAGGAATATCAACATTTCATTCGCCGGAGCGGGCGTAACGAGTTGTTAACGGGGGGCAATAATATGTACCCGGTGTCCCGGCGGTAGCGCCGCGGATAAGGCTCGTTTCGTCGGGGCTTAACTGGCCTACGTACATGCGCGTACCGCCACATCCGGCTTGTATGACCAATCAATGTAATTATCCTACCGGTCTTCTACCGGCTCGGCGCGCTCGCTGCTGCCTTATTTTCGTCCATCCGAGAACGCACTTGCCAGGCAGAAACTGTGATCTCAAAAAAAGGGTGGAGGGAATAAATTGATATTGATGAATCAGCAGAGATATATAATAGAGGAGATGTATACATGTACAAATATATGATCGCGATATGAATTACACTCGGTAAAAAAATTAATAATAAATACGAAAAAGAAATACGCGGTGGTCAGATGTAATTATTCGAGCATTTTTTTTTTCAAAAAGACATATGTAAGAAAAGTAATAATTTTAATTAGAGATTATTAGTACAGAATTATATTTGTTGTTCTTCTACTTTGCCTCTCTTGCTAGAATAATGGATTTAGATTTATGTTATTAACATTTTGTTCAGTTTTGTGTATTTACTACACGACGAATACGCCTAAAATATTAACTCTAGACTGGTGCCATCTTATACGGAGACTTTAAAGTAGATAAAAAAGTTCCCGAGGACAGGCTTATCTTCTTCATAGGGATTTCTACTTACACAGGCGAGTCTTTCTCAATCGAGAATATTTTTGATTGTCCTCCTAAAGATTGTCCGTCCGACAGAATTTCCCTACCGAAATCAATTGCCGTAGCTGTTGTAATCTCGGACAAGATCGGTAATTAAGCGGAGGTTCTATGTCCGAAAAAACGGGGGTTTTTTTTTTAATGAAGGCGTCGTAGTAATATCCGAATGGCCTGTGAGCCGACTATAGCTGCTTTTGCGTTTATAGACCCGAAGGCTCGTAAATACTCGACCGGCCCACTCGGGGCCTTGTTTGGGGTATCGGTTTCCGAAAAGGACTGAACACCTCGTTAAGTCCCGCAAGCGAAGCCCGGTCCTAGAATAGGCGGATCATTAAGATTGTACGTTTATAATTCAAAACATCGGCTCCCGGACCCACTCGATTGCACCGGAACCGGTTGTCGGAAACCCTTTAAGAGATCTCTCTAATATCGCACTAATCTCAAACGAAATATGCAAAATTCTCTCAAGGTATGCAAATCTTTTAAGCAGGAAGAGATCGTAGGTTAATTGTATTCGAATTTATTCTGGGAACTGAACATATACATACTCGGTGAGAATATATCGAAATGTTCTCTTCCGTCGCAGAAACAGTAATTGAATATGGATGAAGAATAGAATTTTCATTTCTCGCGCATAGAATCGAAAAGTATTTGTAATCAAAATTTATAATTTGTACTCAAAATCAATCACATAATCTGTTATCTTTCTCTTCTATATATTTTTATATAGGAGAGATTAATAATTCAAAAAAGGTTTTCATTTATAAATGTCTTGTATATCAAATAAAAATTCCTATGCGCATCTAACAATGCAATTCGTATAAGACAACACAAGTTTTTATTGAATAATCGCAAAAACATAAGAGCATAAAAGAGGGCGGGGGTCATTGTGATATTTGTTTCCATTGTTTCTACGCGAAGAGAGAGATGCGAATTATTGGTCCAGCCGCGTCAACCGTTCGCCAAGACGTGATTCACTTCGGCGAAGTGCCGGGAGTGTTGCTGACACGCGCGTGCACGTGCACCACGTCGGTGGTAACTCGGTGAATCAACAAGTGTCGTGCCTCGAGCGCGGATGCGCAAATCTAGGTAGTATTTAGTTGCACGTCGATTGGAAATGTCAAACGGAACGTGCATCCTCTCAACTATTTTCATTATTTTCTATTTTAATTCAATCAGGTTACATCCACGCAAAAAGCAATCGCGCATCTCTCATAGCTGCACGTGTCTAATTTTCGAAGAGAATCGAATATATTTTTATCGCGCAAATTTTGCTTCGTCTCTGCATGTGCATCATAATTTCTAAATAGAATATAAGAAATAAAAAAATAGCACGATCAGTTAAATAACGCAACACGCAGCGTGTCCAAAACAATCGAGAATACCGAGAGAAATGTTGGTTCTCCAATAAGGGGTTGAGTCTAAGCTTTCGCGAAGCGGCGCACTCCGTCTTCGTAGATTCATTCACGATAATCTCTACCTCCGGCGCGATCGTCCTCGCGCCGTTCTGCCGCGCGAGTCGTCCTCGTGCTGGTCGCGCGTCGTGGCGTGTGCTTTCCTCGTTCTCCGCGCGCTTCGTCTCGTCGTCCAGGGCATAGTATGCAGGTGTGCGCTCTCGGTGAGCGAGGAGGGCCCCCTTCCTCTTTTCCCGGTCGGCAGGCGTCAAACGGCACAGAACCTGTGCAGGCCCCCCGATCTGTGGGAACGCTCCGGCCCGCGAGCTTCCCACGATACGCCACGGCTGCTGGCTGGCTGTACACGCAGCACCGTGCCTCTCGGACCCCTCTGCCATCCGAGCGTGCAGCGTAGGACGATTGGGGCACTGGTGGGGAACCGAGCGCGGTATATAAATAACGGGTTGTACCCCACCAGCGTCTCAGAACCCTCACGAACTCGTACGGGCTCAGACGCATTCTCGGCACTCCGAGAACAGCGAGCGCACATACTCGAAAGTCAGAGAGTACGCTTTTTGATTATTCGTGCATTCGCTTGAAATTTCCTACATCCCGCTGGATCCAGGTGATCCATCGGAAAACTCAGATCCCTTGTTTTGTGATCAGTGATAAATACGATAGATACGGCAGAGAGAGAGAGAGAGTGTGTGAACCTCATCGTCATGTCGCCGCACACGAGTTACACGCCGGTGAGCGGCATGGAGTACGAGGAACCAGTGTCGCGCACCTATCAGTACCGCAAGGTGATGAAGCCGATGCTCGAGCGCAAACGGCGCGCCCGCATCAATCGCTGCCTGGACGAGCTGAAGGATCTGATGGTGACCGCTCTGCAGGCCGAGGGCGAGAACGTGGCCAAGTTGGAGAAGGCTGACATCCTCGAGCTGACGGTACGTCATCTTCACACGTTGCGCGCCGCCAGGAGGCTCACTCTCACCCCGGAGAACAGCTACGCCGATCGTTTCCGCGACGGTTTCACCCAGTGCGCCCAGGAAGTGTCGACCTTCCTGTCGACGCCGGTCGCCGCGGCGGTGCATCCCGCCGCCGGCGCTCAGCTGATGCGACATCTCGGCGGCTGCCTTCGACGACTCGAGGGTCCGGCCGGCGCTAAACATGCGCTCGCGACGGCGGCGTCGAAGACGACCACCAGCCAGACCAGCGTGCCCCAGAACGTGTACACTCCTCCGCAGAGCCCTGTCAGTGTCGCGAGCTCATCCGGGGAGTCCTCCGAGTCGAACCCGGTCTGGAGACCCTGGTGATTTGGAGATCCTGGTTGGTTCTCGCGATGAAGATTCTTTCCTTCTGACGACGACGTAGCAAGGAGGAAAACAACGAAACGCCGTCTTCCAAACATTGACATTCTTGCGAGGCCCCTCGTTGAAATTTCTCGACAATTTTATGTTCATTCTTCGCAATGGGGTTTTTTAATCTGTCGCATTGTACATAGGTGATACAGCTTTAAGTGACGTCTGTGATAGGGTTTCATTTTGTACCTGAGATGACTATTTTCTCATAAAGAACATAGCGATTATTGTATAGATGTTAACTTGTTATGTTTAAGAATATCTTTTCGACGTAATGCCGTTTGGCATCATAATTGCGGCCCGACGGGTCGCAGGATTATCAATAAAACGTCTTGTTTCAATGATAAACAATGTCGGAATAATTACCATCAGACACCTATCCTTCTCTCCTTTATTAATCTTCTCGCAACAATCATACCAAAATCACGATGACGCGTAGCAGAATCTTATTTTATTTTAAAACATGAATAATTCTTCACGTAAATTAATATACAAATTATTAAAATTACTAGTAAATTGAGTAAGAAATATTACTAAAGTTTATTTGATGCAGAATTTTTAAATTTTAGATTACTACAATAATATCTTTCCGTAGCAAAAAGATTAATAAATACAATATAAATTAATAAGTTGTCAAAATGAAAAAGAAAACAATGACGTGGAATTAACATTTAATTCATCTTTTTATATTACCTCAGTTTTTTAAATTAATTAATTTATTTATTTATTAATCTTAGAACCATTTTTGCAATACATTTATAAAAATTATTTAATAGTAAATTTTTCTTAATTTAATACATATTTAATTTTGCGTCCGATTAATAAATTTTGAAAATAATAATAATTGTAAAATTGAATATAGGATTTACTCTATTCTTAGCGATTATATTTTTAAAAATAGAATCGTATTTTTTATGTATTTTTATTACAAATTACAAGATTTTTATTACAAAATTGCAAAGGGCAAATAAAATAGTTCAAAAAGAAGATAAAACATTCTCTATTACATACAGATTCTTATTATGTTTTTGTAACGTTTACATCTGTTTATATCTGTATATTCAATCACCACTTATACTATTATATTCTATAGATATATATGTACATATATATCGCCAAAAAAAACACGCGACTCGCGAAGACTATAAAAAGATAAAAAGCACACTCAAATTACATAGCAAAGCGGCGAGAAAAACGTTATAACAAGTCACCTTCGACGCATTCAAAAGACTTCTACAATGTTTGACCGGCCACGTTTAATCGCGCGGTGCGACATTGTAAGAAATCGAAAACTACCTGTCACCTGCCGTCGCTGTCCGGATAGCATGCCCAGAGGTGACGAAACTGACACATGAATATTAATGCATCCTACGTGACTTAATACGCGAGCAAAACTTTCTTGCACATCTCACAACGTTAAAACACAATTTAATCAATTTCTCTCATTCTCCACAGGCGTCAGGAACATTATGTCTGTTTCGTACACTTAACACGGGAAGATGTAATTTTATCCTCGCATTCTCTCACGCCGATACTCAGTCCGATGCTCTATGCGAATTAAAATTTTTTACTTTGAAATTGATTTCTTCGACGCGTCGATTAGTACGCGCTAATCAGCATTAACCGAATTAATTCTTTTTTATATCAATAATTCGATTATGATTTAAAGAGAGATGAAATTTGTAATAAGCAAAAACATTTCTCCGAAAGTCATCGATCAAATCCCGATCGAGGGGCGCGACACTTTCACACTTTTTCGGGTCTTCCCGTTTTTGGTGCTGTATTTTTGGAGCATCGCGGCGTTAATTTGATTTTACATAAGTGGGACACGAAAGAAAATTAATTCTTTCTTTTTTGCAACTCCTGTCTTACTTTTCGATTAATGCACTCTCGCATTCTACCAACTGCGCGATCGATAACGAGTATTTAATTGCCACATTGTGGCTGGCATATTTACTTAACACGCGTTTCGAAGCGGCGAATTAATCGACGACTCCAACTTTTTATATCAGCATACTTGCACGTCTGCTTCAGCATCCTCGTATCAATTATCGTATGACATGGTTTCTGCGTATATTATATGTGCTCTGTATGCTCTCACAAATATATACGTAAATACATATCTATATATTAAGAGAAATGTGTGGTATAATTCTAACATCATAACTGTTAATCATTACAGTGTAAATTGATATTTATAGCAGTAGAATAAATACGTCTCTATTTTTGTATTTTTTATAGCCTTACAGTTAATTAGTCTCATTTTTAGAGAATTTAAACAATTTTGCAAGATACTTTTGTTATTAATAACATAAACTAGTTCTTCGCAGGTTATTATGAAAATTGCTAGAAAATTGCGGCAAATTATGAATTTCAAGAAAATATTAATCGACGAGTAAAACGCGTTGTTTTCAAGATAAGACTGTAAATTACGTAGCAATTTGACCTTGTCCTTCTTTTTTGTTTCCGTTCTTATCCCTAGTTTTCTATCCCTTTGAAAATGCGTCCGCGCCTTAAAAAATCAATCGCATGCGAACGGAAATAAACCCACCGTACCAGCTTCTCATTCAAGCGCAATGCACGATTGACAGGCGCGCACTACTCGCGTGCGAGAGATTGCGCTCGCAATTATCGAGATATATGATCCGGTCATTGACTCGCGAGCATTTAAATTGCAACGAATCGCTGTTAAAATACTCGACAAAAAGATATCTTTTTGCAGAAAAACAATAAAGAAATAAAGCATATCGAAAAAATAGAAACTATCTTCAAATATTTTTGCGATATTTAAATAAGAGATTTACTAGTCGAGGTATGAACTTAATCTTCGAATACTGATACTAATATTTAATAATATTTACAGTGCATCACTCTTATTGTTAGTGATCATAAAGTTTTTGTAGCAAAATTTGTTATGAATCTTTGACAGTTACTGATCAACCTTTAGAGAGCCGAGAATATAAATAAAAATTGAAATTAATTTCAAAGTTACACGTTTCGTTGCACGTTACAAATTTTATGTCATTGTCGAGAGTGATACATTGCAAGTATTATTATTTTATTATTACTTCATGTATTTTATTCGTCTTTGTGTGAGACTTTTTTTACTTTTCTCAACATACGCAAATGTAAATGTAAAATATAAAACTAAATTATTATTTTCATATTATCCTCTATGACACAAGGAAATGTAAATCGTCATTTTTAGTATATGCAGAAAATATCAGAAATCATGCATATGTAGTATATTAGAATCTTTCCATTATAATAATTTGCGAATCAATTATGTGTTTCAGATTGTAGCCGCATAATAATGCTGGCAGCTGTTGACACTTAAACAACACGAATTGGTAAATACTTGCATATACTTTTCCTTTCGCAAATTTCTCTCATTTAATTTCGCGCGCATTTTATAATGCTCAAGTTTTCTCGACACGTGCGTTAATGCGCTTACGCTTGCGTCGACTACGAAGCATCATCATTTCACTCGGATCAGTTTCTATCGTGTTCATTGTTGTTGAGCCAAAATTGCTTAGCGATGTAATAATATTTTATCGCTTTGCAGCATTCGATTCTGTTACCGCAAGTCGTTTACAATTCTTATCGTATTTTGTCGTCTGTATTGTGTTTCTCTTTACTCTGCGACTTTTTATCGAATTTATATATCGTTATATTATATAAAGCTCACAGAACCATGTGAGTTAATTTATGTCGAATAAAAAAATTGAAGTAAACTTTTACTTCATAAAATAATTTACTTTAAAAAATAATACCTGATAGAATGTAGCGATAAAGTTCGAGAGAAAATATCTCTGCGAAAAATTTTATTTCGACTCTTGATGAGCCGCCAACGAAATTGAATTTTAATGGGGTTATACGTGTTAATTTACGTATTATTTCACGATAACAAGTAAATCGATTATCCGCAGCTGCTTGTTTCGCTTTACTAATAAACTTACATATACATATACGGCAACATATCCGTAACATATACAAAATATATCGGCCAGTTTGATACTTCATAATTATAGCCTCCGGGGAAAGTTGTCACATTTTGTAATTAATCGGCGAAAAAAAATCTCACCAATATATCGATTTATAATAACACTGTTATAATCCCGAAAGCATGTTAATTATATCGACATATATTACATCCCACATCGAGTTGAGCCAAACTTCTTGACAGGCCGTGACAGGTGTTTAGATTTATCCCTGTTCTGCTCCTCGAAAATGTTCGGTAACAGTATTCTGTATTAATTCATCTGTCTTTTAATAGCATTTGTTGTATATTTAACATTTATAAACTTTTGTAATAAAATAAATATTATAACAAAGTATGAATTAACATTGACAAATTATATAAAATCACATTTTTTAGTGTTGTTATTTTTCAGAGTTAAAATTATATGTTATACGAGATAGAAAAAGTGTCGAAAATTGTTGAAATCTGTCACACGCATCGCAACAAACTTTTCTCCCAAACAGGCTATCCGAGATGGACGTAATCGCTTACAATCAGCACGAAACCAATAGCATCGCGAGCAGCACCGATGGCGCCGAGACTCAATACGACGAGGAGAGCCAGCCTGACCTTGATATCGATGGAGATCTGCTGTCGATCGACGGTGACAAAGGGAACAAACTACCCTTCCGCAGAAGCTTGTTCGACAACGTGGCACCCTACATCGTCTTTCAGTCCTACGACCGCAAGAACGGCCCGGTACTGCCGTACGAAGTGGCGCGGCATCTGAAGTGGCACCTCAGCACGATAACACCGACAATAGTGCGTCGCACCGTGGTGAATTCCGGTTATCGCTTGATGAAGAAATGCCAGAATTGGTGCGGCACTTGGGGCAAGCACATGAAGTCCGCCTGCTACAAGAGCTTGAAACAGTCGCAGAAGGTCAACCACTTCCCTGGGACCTTCCAGATCGGCCGGAAAGATCGATTGTCGCGCAATATTGGCCGGATGATGGTGAAGTACGGCAAGCGGGAATTCGGCTTCGCGCCGCGTACCTACGTGCTACCTCAGGACATGCGTGTCTTTCGTCAAGTGTGGGAGAAGAACGGCGGCAAGGAGAAGTGGATCATCAAGCCGCCAGCCTCCGCTCGTGGCACCGGAATTCGCGTGGTCTATCGCTGGTCCCAGATACCAAAGAAACGCGCTGTCGTCGTGCAGCAATATCTGTCGCGACCGTTGCTGATCCGCGGCGCCAAGTTCGACCTGCGTGTCTACGTCCTCGTCACCAGCTTCAATCCGCTCAAGATTTACGTCTATCCGGACGGTCTCGCGCGTTTCGCTTCCGTCAAGTACAACGACGACATCAACTACCTCAGCGACCGTTTCATGCATCTCACCAACTACAGCATTAACAAGACCAGTGCGACCTATACCAGCAACGACTGCGCGGACTCGAGCACCGGTCATAAGTGGACTCTAAAAACTCTCTGGTCCTATCTCGAGCAGGAGAACGTGAATATCGTGAAGATATGGGCGTCGATAAAGGATATAATCATCAAGACGATGATAGCCGGCGAGTCTCCTATCAATACTCTAACGAGAACCAATACAACTTCAAGGTAAGACAAAAAACTTATATTTTTTTAATAGAATATTTTTATTTCTTTTTCTAATGTAATACTATTTTTGATGCAATTTTTGTTGGCATATGAACATATTTTTAATGTTTAATAAAAATTGAAATATGAAAATTTAATAACATAATTTTTAAAAATAATTTTATAAAGTTTTAAAATTAATGTAAAATGCGTTTTTAAACAATTTTTTTTATTAATTAATATATATTTTTTTCTTATTTTTTCAAGTATTTTTCTATAATGTATATTCTGTTTCATTAAATTCTCAGATATTGTTGTTATGAGCTTTTCGGCATTGATATTCTCTTGGACGAGAATCGAAAACCGTGGTTACTGGAAGTGAATATATCGCCCTCTCTACAGTCTTCCTCGCCGCTTGACATTGCTGTCAAGGGGCCTCTTATTAAAAACGTCTTTAATATAGCCGGATATCAATTGCCTTCGTGCATACCGTCCGAGGAAGTGGAACAACTAGCCCAAAGATACCAGTTAGATCTGGTGTGCCAAGATTACAGACTGCACCGAACTACAATTAACTATCAAGAGCGACACAAGCAAATGATGTATGCGAATCTGAGAAATCGCGAAGACTACCTTGACGAAATAATCGAGGATCTTACCCCCGACGATGTCAGACACTTGATTACTTACGAGGACGAACTGACACAATTAGGTAGATTCGAGAAGATTTTTCCTACTACTACCAGTCACCAATACTTGCAGTACTTTGACGTTGCAAGATACTATAATATGTTGTTTGATGCGTGGGAGACCAAATACAGTGACAATCGGGACGAAGGTATTTCCCGGTTGCAAAAATTATGCAAAACCAAGTATCACTTGGAATAAATCTTTTAAATAATAATCTTTTTTCCGAACGTATTTACATTAATAATACCGATATCAAAAAAATGCTACAAAGTTACCCGAAATTGACGTTTTAATCGTACGAAATTTTTTTGTTCTGTACGCTATGCGTACTTATATACGGGTAAACGTACCATGTCTACGTCTATGGTTCTTGAAAGAATCAAGTTCATTATGTGCCTTTTCCCACGGTTGTGCAAATTTATTTTATTGTATGAGATTTTGTCTTTAATAAACAATTTTTCACTACACGCGCAAGCTCACTAATACTGCGATCCCTTTTTTCTTGTCAAGTTAGTAATAATCCTCATCCTGTCTATTAATAAAATCAAATTTGAATTTTTTAATTTTTCCTTGAAATTTTTGAAATTTAGTTTGTTGCAGTAATTAATAATTTGTATTTTATATAATATAATTGTTTGTTTAAATTTAATAGATTTACGAAAAAGTAATTATTTTAAAATTTATTCTAAAAAATTATTTTATTTAAAATCTAAGGTTAAATTTTAATTTTAATATTAAATTAAATATAAAATCTATTTTTAATGCAACTTGATGCAAAAAATAACTTGCATTTTGTCGAGGACATTGGATTTTACAAGTGAATTCAAGCACATAAACAAGTAAGTGTAAACATTATTTATATGCGCATACATATTTCGATGACTTAAAAAAATTGTTAGAGAGACGTTCATAAATATTATGTTCCTCTCGCAAAATGAATCTTTTATCCATCAGCTGTTAATAGAATAATTAATAGAATAATAAATATGTCGCGATATGTCTTCGATTCTGCGTTCATACACATTATCCACAAATTGCCTCAAACTCCTTTAGCTTCGAACTCATGCGCATACACAAAAAGCACAGTATCGGTAAAAAACTTGTCTTAAATTCAGTGATAAGAAACGAATGAGTATATCTGCTTGGTAATTCCAAAGAAAGGAGACTCTTGCACCGGTCGCGGTAAATTGTGGACAAGTCATCGTACCGAGAACGCCGAGATGTTCGCGTATATCGAAATTATCGGACGCCAAATAGCGACTCGTATGACGGCTCTGGCCGCTGACGGAGATGATGATAAAAAGTCAAAGTTGCCGATGCGTAAGAGTCTCTTTGCTAATGTAGCGGGCGTGCATAATTTTCGGCAACAGGAGCATGGCGAGTATACTGCCAAGCACCTGCTTCGATAACACACAGCGGAAGGAAGTGTATATCTCTTTTCATGAACTCATTAGAGGTTCGTAAAAATAAAAAATTTTAATTTATTTATGAATAAGTCAGAATTAAAAGCTTCTAATAAAAAAAAAACATTTTACAAAATTAGACCGTGTTACTTTGACATACGTATGCGAAATTTTTTAGACTCCATTCGCGGATATAAATAATAAAGTGAACCATTCGAGATGTGAGCGATTTTACGGATGCAATAACGGGTTTAATAAATCCGTACTGACAATTTAATGTCTCTATTGTGACCGCGACAGTCGGCGGTACTGACAGCTGCGCTTGATTAGGTTAATACGAAAGGGGACCAGATTTCTTCGCTTCCGCCCTTTAAATTCAATTACTGCTTGGGTACTCGGTCACTTAAAACATCATATATCAGTTTTGTTTGGAGGAAGTACGATCCGTGATAGAGAATGAGTATACCAATTGTCTTCAGAAGCAAAGACATAAGGCAGAGCATTTGATTCGTCTAGATTTTCCGCCATTAAGAACAGTCATCCTTACGAGACGATGATTAATGTCTCGAAATAATCTTGATTCTAATTTATACGTGAATACAGCGGAAGAGATAGATAAAATGTACAGCGATTTTACACTACATTAGACATAAATTCGTAAATTTAATAAAAAACTAACTGCGACAATGTATTGATATTATTTTTTTTTGTAAAATTCATGGTTTTTTTGTTGCTAATTAGAAAAAAGAAACGTTGATATTAATTAATAATAAATGCACAACAATTTAGCGTATCGATCGCGCAGATTTTCTTCCGAGCTTCAGATTTCGGGGTCGAAATTATTCGATTTGCATGATGCACAAAGCATGGGGTGCCCCGACGTCGGTTGGAGACAATAGACTGCGTTCACAGTGCCACGACGGTCAATGAATTGATATCGTTATTGTAACGACATAATAGACATATTTTCTTATTGAGATTGCTGCCTTACGTGTGCATGTATATATGTATAAGTGACGTGCGCGCCTAGCCCGGCCGTCTTCATGAATGTATTCATTCATGCGAGTGGCTGCGTGTGCGTTATGTAACCAACACAACGTCGGCACGACGCGTAAGGCTAAGGACCTCGTCTTCTCTCTACGTGAAGACAGATCTCAAGGAGACTGCTGCCACTAGAATATACGGGACAGGTAGTTATATGTAAATGTTTTTCTCGTCAATCTTTTAACGGGGCTAGAGCTCTTTGTTTATACGTTTCGAGATTTTATTTAATCCAGAAAAGAAGCGCGGATCTAGAACGATAAGTTTTATATCAATTCTTTGAAGAGCACTTTGACCCATCTTGAATAATCGAGCTAAAGTCTGAAAACTGAATGAATCATTAAATTGCTCGTGGATTGCGCTTTGTCACTTGATCCAATTGATTCGACGGATTGATTCCTAATGAATAATTATTTCGTGGAAATAAGGTCCAGAGATTAGATGTACTCTCTCATTCAGCGATAAGAAATTATGTGTTATTTAATCACATCTCGTTTTTTCTGATATAAATACAATGTTGCATTTGATTTAAAATATGTCGTCGTCATTTTATATAATTTGTTTTGACACAATTAGAAAAAAAATTAATAATATATTTTTTTCACGCTTTCTCTTTTTCTTTAATGATTCTTTATGTGAAGGACAAAAAATATATAAGAGAATGTATAAAAAAATATTCTTATATATTCTTATAATTTCTACTGATTGTTTTTAATAAATAAAAAAGAATCTTGCAATCACATTTAGTGAATATAAAATTTCGATTGTACAGAAGAAAAATATCTTATCACATTACTAATCCCTGGCAAAACTCGTGGATAAAATCAGTGTAAAATACAATAATTAGCAGTCATCAATAAACAGCAATGCTAATTTCCTCGCGTCTTTGATTCATGCACGAGTTATTCGCATGATTAGATATCCGGTCCTTGTCTGCCTCGTGAACTTCGCGCGTGACGATTGCGCGGCGATTATAATATGTCCTCCGCACGTGTGCATAATTAGCGTGTCATTTATCACGACTGTAGGCTCGAATATAAAGGCGGTCTCGTACGATCATTCAAGGTCGTTCTCGGTCCACGAGCCATTCAATGACGCCTTACTGCGACAGTGTAATTTCAACATTACGGTGCATTTAACTGCGGCACGTGCCACATTCTTGTGCATATTTAGCGAATACTCGTGGAGGGAATCTATTTGTCACATAAATAATTATTGACATCTTTTTATTTCCATTTTTTTCAAGATGTTCAAATATCAATAATCTTCAAATAAATATATAATAAAAAGACGGATCTTCAGGTCAGTTTTAAACTTAAAAAATGTTTGCACATTTCACAAGTGTCTAATTAAAAAAAAAAAAATTGCATGTTGTAATTTTCTCAACGTGCGTATATCATTATACGTTGACGGAGATCTGTCCGATTCATCTTCTAATCTCATTCAACCGACGTTTCTACCTACGCGAAATATGCCCGCGCGCGTGAGGACGTACTCGACACTGGATAACGACTTAATAAACCGAGAGCGGCCACTGTGGCAAGGGGTGCGGAGGGTACAGGGGCACCGCGGTGCGGGCGGATGCGAGCACGTGGAGTTGCGCGGGGGCGTCATGGTAGTCAGGTGCGTCGCGTGCTCCCCACTTACATCACGTGCTAGCTAGCTCGTGCTTTGTTTTGAGAAGGCTTAAGAGCGCCCGTTCCCACGCTTCCGCGCGCGTTCTCCTCAGGTCTCCCTCCCATATGTCTTCCCTTTGCCTCGTGTCAAAATTCGTATTCGAGATATACCGTAAGCCCCCGATTACTGTCTGCCGACAGTTTGTCCACTCCAAGTTACAAAGGTGAGACGAGGTTTATTTTTTTGTATTACACGTGCAGGCAAAGTGGCACTTTGTGTGGGTGTTTCCTGTGCGCGAGGTGGCCGATCGCACGCCGCCATCTTGCGGCGGCACAATGCGGGAATAGCCGTGTTCAAAGTCATTGTCCACGGCTGAAGCCGTGGGCAAAGCATTGCCCACGGCTTCAGCCACAAAGCCACTTTGCCTGCACTTGTAATACAAAATAGTATGTGTATCACGTGCGGATTGACAATTGTTCACTCGTCTTCGATTCGTGCGTCTATCCCCCGCACTCGTGACCAATTGTCAACTTTCCGCACTTGATACACAATATACTATTATATTTGAATTATTTATTATTTTATACAATTTATAATTCTATACGTATATACCATTTTCTCTCTAATTTATTAATTTTATTATTATATGCACACACGGAGAGAATTTTCTCTTAGAAAATTTGCTTTGAAAATTATGGTAATCTTGGGACAATATATGGTAGTTATCGGAAAAATGGTATGAGTTTCTCTTTGATTAAATATTTACCACAATAAAAATATTAATATTTATGTAAATATGCGTATATATAAATTAATGTACATATAATATATAAAATATTTTAGCAGAAAATTAACCATGAAATGAATAAAAAAATTAGAAGTAAAATTATAAATAGATCTCATGTATATCACAAAAATCTATATAATTGTATGATTGATGCGTCCAGGTTGCAGTAGCGCGAGACGAAGACTTCGCGTACGACATGCGGCACGCTCGTACATACAGATATTGAATCATTGTTCCAGCATTACAATAATCGCGGTGTGTCGTGACTCCTTCTCCTACTCTCTCCCTTCCTCTTCAGTGGTGTCTGTATAACCGAATCGTTTCGTAGCCTCTTGGTATTCTCTCGCTTTGTCTTACGCACGAGCCGACGTACGGTTGATTACGAGGCTGCGCGTAGACCGGACGCTCCCTCGAGAATCGCGATGGACTTCCCACATACTTTCACGCCGCTCGTAAACCGCCTTTTCCCTGCCGGTCAAACGAATATTGTCACGCAGCTCATTCCCATAAACCGCGCGCGTGCACGAAGCGTGCGCCGACAATTTCATTGTTTCAGCGGGATAAATACGTGCGCAATGGTAAAGTAAGGCTTTGACATTTAACAGCTGATC